GACTCGGCGTGCTGACCTCCACGTAAACCCAGAGCAGAGCACGTGCTGCTTTTTGTTGCGTCACTTCTCTCAAGTGAACACCAAGGACAAGATCTTCTCCATTCTATTTGTGAATTCACACTTATCCAACCATTTATTTCTCACACTAGCACAAGGCTATCCATTTGCAATGTAATACTTTTTTTCTGTTATCAGATCTAAGTTTGGGAGAAGTAGATGTAAAAGAAAAGACACAGAGTAAAGAAAGCTTTCCTGCTTAGAGCTTTGGTCAATGGAATATAAAGATTATCTTTACAGCAGCCATGTAAAAACAAATGATGCTGTCAATGTAAAATGAATAAAATAAAGACAATATTTTCACAAGCTTTCCCCAATGGCTTTAAAATAAGGTCACTTTGGTGCTGCAGGAAAGAGCTTGGTATCAGCCTCCTGCTCCACAGGTTGACACACTTGGCTTGGCCATTTGTATTAAATGAGACTCTGTCTTCTTTTTATTACAGAATTCCACCCTCCCACTTCTGATACAATGATATTTGATACCTAAACCTGCACGTTTACCAGTTTGTCTGTAATTCTCCCCCTCCCACCCCTCAGCTCCCAGGAATACACCAATCTTTTCACATGCAATCACATTCACCAGAAGCTACATTTCACCCTAAAAAAGAATAAATCAACACTGAATTGTTACTTACTGGTGCCATAGCTATGCATCTAATTTGAAGTCATTGTCAAAGTCTGTCACATATATTAAAAGCTCTCATTTTTATTTAAGGAAGAAATTAAAAAATGAAAATATTTCTTATGCATTTTTTTTTTTCTCGAAGAGATTACAGTCAGGGTTGTATATTGTAGCCACCCTATATTTAGAAGCTGGGTAATAAACCACATAAATAGCACACTGAATAAAACATTAAGACATAAAAGGAGTTAAATAGAAGGGCTAAAGCTTATTGTGCAGTAACCATGTCTGACCCGTGGAAATACAAAGGGCTCATAATTCAAGTTAGCAAAATGTGGAGTTGGGATTTAAATCAGGGGGAAGCCGGTGGTGGCTGAGTGCCAGATCCCCTTCCACAGCCTTGCAGGGCCCTCTGGTGGAAACGGGAATCCATCTCACAGCTGCCCAAAAGCACTGCCAGGAAAAAGGATGCTCCACTCATACAAAGCTGTGTTTTTCAGCTCTCTCAGAATTTTTTCTCTGACTCCAGTGGGGACAGAGTCTGTCCAAAAGCCCTGAAAGTAGAGAAAGGAAGTCCTGAAAGTTGTGGAAAACTGCAGTTGATGTGGAACATTCTGCCTGAAAATTTAGACCCTCCAGCAGAGCTGGAAGCATTTCAGGTGAGCATGATCACATAAAAGAGTCTCCAAAAAGCCAAGATGCACCAGTAACTCATGGCAGAAACTGCTCAGCTGGCTGTGCCAGCTCAGGGTCTGCAGGGCCAGCCCTCACACCAGCTGACCTGACAAAATGTCTTTTCAATTCTTCTTCATTTGTGACTTGGAGCAGCGAGGTGGAAACAAATCTTTTCTGCTACCAAATGTATGTTGCTTCATCCAACACAGCATGGAATTGATCATTATGTTGGCATTAGGTAGTCAAGAGCCTGAAATACTGCCTGGTTTTAAAAAAGGAAAAAGTAAAATTGAAGTAAAATTGGTGCTTATGGTTCCCTTAGTTATTGTCAGGGCAAAAAGGGAAACTCTCCAGAAGGGTATTCACAGCAACAAAGTCTGATGAACATTCTCATGTTTCTTCTCCACACAGGTATACAAGAAGGCTGCTAAAATAATCTGCACAAGCAGCATCTTCAATGCTCTAATGGTGATGAGAAGGGAAATTTCTCCTCTGTCTTTTGACTCTGTCATTCAGGACAACTGCAGTGTTCCAATGAAAAACAGGCTGTGGCCTCCAAGCTGGATTCAAGATCCAAACTGCTCCAAGGCAAGGGCAGGATTGTCTTGCAGGATTGAACAGCTCTCCCCTGACAGGTATTTGATGGTGGTGAATATTTCAGAGAGCAGGAGAAAGGACCAGGTCTGTCTTACATTTCATTACAGTGTAGAGGCCTCCATTGTAAGAGAGATTGTTCAATGCCATTCTCTCCCACTTTTCAGGAGCTATTCAGGGTGGCTATTGGGTCCATAATATCCAGTCTCTGTCCCTGCCTGAATAGGTCAGACAGCTGTCAAATGTCATTTTTCAGGCACCATCTAGCATGACCTAAGTCAATAAATGTCTTTTCCCAGATTGGGCTCTTTAAAAATGGCAGTATTTTGAAAAGAAAAAGTCAATTCCCACTTTTCATCTTAAATTCTCTTGTCTGCTCTTAGTTACTAAGGTTGCTTAGCTGTAGCAAGTACACATTTATTTAAAGATGCTGATGATGTCAAGTAAATCACTGGAAACACACTGATTGTCAGGAGCAGACACAACCTGTTCTGAAAAAGCAGCTCCTCTCAAAGCATCCCAGGCTGGGCACCTCTTGCCTCTCAGCTCAGCTGGTACCTGTCAGGTGACAGCTGCTGGACCTAAAGGACAAAGCCTTTGCTGAACCCAAAGCTTGGAGTCATTCCTCTAATGTGCTTCAGGACATTTTACTTTGCAAAATGTGAATGCTGCCTATTGACTGCAAAAATTTTATCTCAATTGCTATCCAAGAACATGCTAATTTGTATGAAATAAATGAGGCTAATTATTTGCTTTCCACAAAACTGGCTCTGCTAAAAGCTCTGAATTATTTGCTTTCCTGATGAACAAGGCAGCACCTTGCTCACATAATAGATTTCATCAGAGATTTGATTATCCATTAGAAGGTCAATCTATGTGTTGTGTCAAGCAGCAAGGATGAGATGAGGCTGGGAAACACAGGTCTCTTGAGGACAGACCCTAAACCTTCTATATCCTCTACGGTGCCAGGAGTCAGGTGTAGGGAGCTGGAGAATCAAAAATGGCATCACTGCTTCATCTACCACATGGAACCAAAGTGGGATGGGGAACACTTCAGTGTACAAAGGAGGGAAACTCACATTTGGGGAAGAACAGGACACCACAGTCTAAAAAGGTGCCTGAAGGCTCCAGCTTCAAGAGCATTGAAACCCAAGGGCATTGTCCATTTGAAAAACAGCTCCAGAGTTGGGCCAAGTTTTGATGAGGAGCTGAACCTTCTCTTAGCTCACCAGAGAAATCACAGCACACAAATATGCTTAAAAGTCAAGCAACATGACTGTGTTTGTGGTACCTCTTTGATAGGGTGGAAAGAGCTTCTGGTGTCAATTTAAGGTATGATCTCCAGCATTCTGAAATTTTATGTAAAAAATTTTGTCTTGGTTTACATAATGCATTGTGCTCATCATGCAAGGCCACAACACAAGCTCACTGCTGCCTTATTGCAGGTATTTCCCTTAGGTGCACAGGCAAAGCACATCTTGAAAGGACAAAAATAACATTTCTTCTGACAAGGCTGCTCTCCAAATGACAAAAGCTGCAGAAGGTTCTTCTCCAGGTTTTTCTGCAGAGTCAGCTCTGAGATGCTCTGCAATTAATCTGTGATTGTGCACAGACCCCACTTCTTCATGAAAGGGATACAACTAATTCCCAGAACAAATATGGGACATCCCCCACCACTGCATGCACTAGAACCACTCCTTTGGATCTGCCTCACAGTGCAGTTACTCTCCATCAACTGTGGCTGTATTTTATAGCAAACATGGGCATTGCACAGCCAGGGAAAGCAGAACTGGTGATGGGGGAAGGCAAGGATGAGGTTTTGCAGCTCTCAGAGACACAGCAGCTACGTGCAGGTCAGTCAGTCCTGCTTGCCAGCTCTGAAGATATTTTGGTGAGCACAGGAGGAGCCTCCAGCTCCTACCTAGACAACCACTGGAAGCAGCCAGGAAAGAGATCAATAGTTTGTCTCTTCTGGAGGATGGAGCCTCTACCAGATGCATCCTCGCTTCCCAGCCCTGGGGGGAGTGGATGTTAACATTAGACCTGGACCCACAAGAGTCTGGCTCAGAACTAAGAACATTGCACGTGGATTTGAGGATTTACACCTAATTTAAGAACAGAGCCACGTCACAAAGAGTTACACTTGCAGAAATCCCCAAGCCAGCATGAAGCTGACCATGGTGCTGAGGACACAGACCCATAGTGGAGTTTGCAGCCAGAGTTTTGAGCTCTCCTGAAAAGCAGCACTGACAGGATATTTTGTTACCTCACCTTTCCCCCTAGAGGGATTGAAGGTGGCACAGTCTTAGCACAGCTATCCCATTTTATTTAGGACAGACACCTTTGCATTAGCACTGGTACATCTTCATCTCTTTCTGCTTTCAAGCTGATGGCTGCATGATCCTACCAGAGATGTTGCTACAAAAATCCAGTCTGGAAGTCAATCCAGCTTGTTCTAAGCTTTTTCTGACATTTATAATATGGTAACACATCGTGCCTGGTAGGTATTTCCCTACTAAAATAGTGCATCCCCTTAAATGCAAGATCTTTGTTTTCCTCACTACGCCAGTTAGGAAAAGGAGAGTGTCACAGGCTGATCTCAGCACAGGTCAGAATTTGTGTCAGTCAGTGAAAAAGCTGGCTAACATGAGTCTGAGGGCTTCAATTTATTGCCCACCAGAGCAAGTGATACCACTGTAAAGTCAGTTGATAACGACAGGATTAAGAGGGTGAAGGTAAGAATACATCTCAGATGGTCTTTGGATAAGGATAAAGCAAAATGACACAAACAAATCCCAAAGTCCAAGCAGTCATGAAGTCACTCCAAAAAGCTCCTGGCAAGCTTCAGTACATAAATAACTAGAGAAAAGCCATGTAAATTTACAATAACTCTTTTTTTTCCTTGGTGGTGGTGTATTTTTAACCTATTTCACTGATTACAACATGCTGTCAACAGCCTCATCAATTATCCATTGCTAGAAAGTGGGCTCTAACATGCTGCAAGTGGTATTAATTGGTCTCAGTAGCACATAATGAGTTTAAAAGCTCCTACCTGTGTGCCCCCGGGGATGGTGACTAGAGGCGGACAACAATTTACAGCAGACCATTAACACATAGACCAGAAAGAGCCAGTCAGACAGAAGCATTGATTTGGCACAGAATCTCATCCTGGAGGCAGAAAAGGAAGCAGTTGAGTGAAAGAACAATGCGAGGAGGGAATAACATAAAAATGATGCAGGGAAGGATCAGCTGAAAGGACGCTGAAGAATAACTAATGTAGCTTATTGCAAGGCAACACTCACAAAATCATATTCATTATTTGGTTGGGATCAATTCTTTGTTAAGGACATTTTATAATTAGAAGCAATGTCTAGCACACATCACATTACCCACAAACACATGTTTATAATAACACATTATGAGTGCAATACAGTTCTATAAATCTGAGATTCATAGGGATGGGTTCTTTTGTCTTTTATTAAAATCCTGCCACACTCAAATTTAAACATACATATTTATGAGTTGTGCTGCTATTTTTAAGCTCCCCCAATGACAGAAAAAAAAAAAGTAATTTTTACTTAACACTTCTCAGGACATATTACTAAAGCTACCATCTCCCCTGTTGCCATGCACAGGACTTGGCTGGGTCTCCCAAACACACAATATTTGGGAGATTTCCTGGAGATCAGCCTGTTTGCTGAGGGGAAAACACTCACAAAGCAGCACCTCAGTCAAACATGTAAGGACTCACTTCTCTGCCAGGGTGCTGGAAACTGCATTTCAGAAAACATTTGCTCTGAAGAAGGTGTTGTTAATCTTATTCATGTTATTCTCAGAGCTAAGATCCCAAATACTCCCTAATTTTTCTGCAAATATCTACAATTAAATCCCTCAATAGCTTATGTTATGCCATTCATCACATAGAAAGGGAATCTAATCATCTTTTTAAACTCAGTTATGATGATTTATTGCTTGCATGGTACATAAATGGGCGTTATGTAGTTGAACCCTTAGATACCATGTTCCACACTTTCAGCAAATTCTGCAAGCAGGAATACATCAAATTAATTAAAGGCAATTTATAGATTTGCATAAATTGAACCAAATACTGTTTTCATGGCAGTGACGTTAGTCTGCAGTTAATCAGCATGCTGGGATTTGGGCAAGCCTATTCACGAGTTTATTTGCACCAAAAGGTCCTTTGGGAATTATTTTCCCTCTGCAGGTTCCAGTTCTGAGTCCTCCAAGTCTTTTCTAAAAAAAATTATCTGTGGATCTTGAAAATACCTAAGATTATTCAGCTAATCCAATGTTTTACTAATGAAGAGACAAGTTTATAAAAAGAAATCCCAAGCAACAGCTCTACTGTCATAACCAGGTGACACACTTGGGTGTTTAAGTTTGATAAACATCTACCAATGAAATCAAAACAGGGGCCATGTTTCCTCATTTAAAATTGCTTGCACAGTTTCTGTTTTCATGCTTTGCAAAACCATATTTTTTTCTCTAATTGTAAATGTTGATAATGCCCAAACAAATAAAAAATTCACTTATTAATATCAAAAGTTAAGAAACCAGAGGCTTGCTGCATATAAATATATTTTAGCAATAAATACAAGTTTACACTTCAGAAAGAAATTCATCAGTGCAAACCCCAGCACCTTCAGCCTACAAGTTTTGGCTTTTTTTAATTACACAAATATTGTAAAAAAAAGAACAGCTCACCATGTCTACAGATTTCAGGGAATTAAAATTACATGTAAAGAAGCCACATTTTAAGCACTGATTTGGCAAAATGGTACCTTTTCTGGCTTTAAGAAGATGCTCTGTTTTGAGCCAAATATGTTGCCACTCCAAACACAGGAACAAACACCCTGATGGCCTTTTACTGTATATAGGAGACTTCTGTGAGCATGAATCAAGCCCAGAAGATAAAGACATCACTGCTCCCTACCTACCCTATGAGTACCCTCTTCTGGAGCACTCCCAGACTAATTTAGAGCAGCTGAACCTAATTCACCTCCTGCAAGCAGCTGAACCACATAATGTCACTGCAGCTAATGGGATTGAGACTGTGAAACCAGCATAAATGTCACTATTGCTGTTGATCCAGTATTAGCCTGGTAAGTTCTGAAATCAGTGTACCATTTCATCTTTTGGTCCTACAAATCTTTCCCAGGTGACTGAAACTCTTTTCTTTTTTTTCTTTTTTTTTTTTTTTTCCAGGAGAGAGCTGAATTTAACCTTCATTTCCTTAGTCTCTCTGTGAGAAACACACAGATTACAGATCAGGCACCAGTTATCACTGGTGTCATCATCTGCTCAGCTTCCAGTCCCATCCTCCTGTTGCTCTAAATGCAAACACCCAGACCTGACCCAAGTATGGGTGGATACCCAGCTCTGGGGTTACTCTGACACATCACCATGAGGACAGAAACCTTCCTCCAGGTTTCCTGGATTTAGCCTGTGGAATTCAATGCCACAGCTCAGGCATTCTGAACGTGCCATTTCTGGTTGGAAGGGACAGGTGTGATGATGGACAGGTCCCAAATCATGCATCCTATGCTCAAAAGCTGCTGTTCCAGCACTTAAATGGACCCAGCTGTTCCCAACATTCCCAGTGCAGCAGCAAAACTGGTCCCAGTGGAAATGGCCAGCTACTGACCCATTCTCAAAAGTTTTCCCCAGTTGAGTTTGACTCTTTTGAGACATTAAACAAGGAATGTGAAAGCAGGGCTCATCAGGTTAACAGGGTAACCTTACCCCAGTGTAAGAATGTTTGAGTCCAGGAATGAGTGTATCACTACAAAGCATCCACTTGGTCATACCCAAACTGAAAGGCTGCTAAAAGCATCCAGTACCATCCAAATGACACAGCTGCAGACTTCAGTCTGCCTTGCAGGTAGACAGGACACAAGTTTCAGCCTGCTAATGTAAAGAAATACAAGAGGATCTTTGAAAAGGCAGAGAAAAAATTATATTTGGCAGACAGATGCAGCAAGGGGTGCTGAGCCCTTCAGCGTCAGTGGGCTGCCGCTTTCAGAAATGTCAAACCTTCATTCTCTATTGGATTCAAGTGGATATTGTTGCTAACCAGAACAGCGAATCTTCAGTGTCATTTGAAAGATAAAAAGTACTCTTACCTTGGGGACTTTGCAAGAATTTTGTTCCAGTCAAACACAATTATTTCAGTGTGTTTTTCATAGTTATTCCAGATTCCCATTTGCGGCAACAAATAAGCCTTTCTGCATCTCAGAATTTCTTCCTTCACTTCGGGGACCTAGAAAGAAAGCCACATTACACTGCAATTAACGTCTGGAAAGGTGCTGTAAAATACATCTTTGTTACCCAAATCTTAGTTTCACAGTGCCATCTACAGTGCAATCCGGGGCAGAAGGCAGCAGTTGTATTGCTCTTTTCTTTCGAGAGCACAGAGAAGCTGTGGTGAGGCAGCTCTGAGGTATCACCACATTAACCAAAGGCAGAGTTTGCTGTAGTAGGGGCTGCAAATAGAGTGTGTGCAGCTCACTGGGGCATCAGCACCTCATGCCCTCTCACCACCCAGCTGCTGGGAAAGCTGTAAGGTCCAGGACTGCACAGTAGTGCAAACACATTTCCACATGGCTCCAAGAAGCCTCCAACAGTTTGAAGCAGACATTATTAAAGATAATGGGGGAAATCTGTCATTGTCTTCATAAAGATTTGGCCCTGGAGCCTGCCTGAGCAGCAGAGGGTCACATCCACAGGAGTGTGTCTGGGATCATGCATCTCTGCACCCCCTGACCCTGCTGCCTCTCACACCCAGCACACCCACACCCAGGAGCTACACCTTGGAATCTCCACATGGAAACACTTTCACAGCAGCACTGGCACACCTGCTGCAGAACAAGGAGCTCAAACACACCATTTTATAGACATTCAGACCTCTTTGCTTTTGTTGTTTGTATTTGTTCTCTCACTTCCATCCCTGGGCACAACTTGACCTTCTGCTGTTGAAAACGTGACACAGAGCAATTTGTGAGAGTAATAATAATGTGGTCTTCACCTACACAGCAATCACAATAACCTCTTCTCATCCACCATTCTTTTCATTTCACTCCTCCTTTGATCAGTTAGAAATTTGCTTTTGAGAAACACCAAATTACAGCACCACATTGGAGGGCAGAGCATGTCTGGGGCCACAAAACCACATAGACACTTTTCAGCAGCTCAGAACAGGAAAACCCCTGGCTCAACAGGCTCACAGGCTCACAGAACCTTCCAATCACAAGTTGGAAGGGACCTTAAAGCTCATCTTGGCCCAAACCATGGGCAAGGACACCTTTCACTGCACCAGGTTGCTCGAAGTCCCATCCAACCTGGCCTTAACAGCTCCTTTTTGTTCAGAATGCCACGAGAAAATAAAGTAATTGCTGGAATTAAAGAGGTGCCAGGCCAGCAATCTATAATTAATCACATTTTACTCTCTTTGCTTTCCAAGGTGGAGCTCCAGGGTGAGCCAAAATCAGCAGTTCTATCAAATCAGCAGTGGAAATCAAAACAAAACATAGGCAAAGAGCTGTCTTCAGAAAAAGCACAACCATCCTGTATTAATCCTTTCTTCCACAAATACACATGAAATAAAAAATAAAAATAAAACAACAGTGTGCCTCAAAAGACCTATTAAGAAGAAGCAAACAAACAGGATTTTTAATATAGCATTGACTGACTGAAATAGTTATGTGGTACATTTTTACCCATTTCATAATAGGACAGGTAGATAAATATATTCTTACAGTGCTCTTGTAGAAATCGATACTGCAATACACTAACTTGGGTTTTAGTGCTTATCTGTTCCATAATTTTTATTAGAGAGGAAAATAAAGTCCCGTGCAGATGCATCTCCAGGTAAATCCAAATGTCAGTGTAACCTGTTCTGTAAACACATGTTAAACACTGCTAAAAGGCAAGGGAGTATTGATTAGTCCAACTCATTCTAATTAAGTGGATGCAGAGAAAGCGACAGATGATACATCCACCTGCATATCTCCAGGTTTTCTGATGCCTTCCAGGCAGAGATATTTCTTTAAAAAATAGACTTGTATTAGGGGAGATTAAGGCAAACTCCTGAAACCAGCTTTGGCTGGTTTATGTCAATAAAGGAGACAGATCAGAACAGAAACAAGAGGCTCACCTAGTTAATAATTGTAAAAGGAATTCCAGGCTTTTCATGGCAAAAGTGTGCTTTGTGTGTGTTTTGTGAACAGTGGGTTTAACTGCTGGCCCCTGTCTTGTCTCAGGGTGACACATTACTTTGGGAAACAGAGCTGCTTGTTTATTTTTATACAATGAGCTCTGGCCAGTGAGCAGCTGAACTCCACTTCCAGAAAAGATAGAGAAAAGAAGGAAGAGGGAATGGGAGAGGGGAAGGGCTCCATTTTCAGTATTTATGCATGGACTGGCCATGAGCAACTCCTGCTTTGCACAGGAGGTCCCCAGAGGCTGCACCACTCCCCTGGGTCAGTATTTAGGGCAAATGGAGATTGTGGGTTCTGGGATCTGGAGGGAATTGCAATGGGCAGCTCTGCTGCACGTCAGTCCCAGCACAGTCTGTGCCTCTGCACTCAGGTAAAATGGGTATAAACAGCATTTCCTTGTGTCAGGGAAGTTTTCCAACATAAGCAATAAAGGTCCAAAGTTATTTGAAAACTGTATAGGCACTGTATAATTCCTTTTGACAGATGGAACAAGATAACATTTTAAATTAGGTGCATTTCCTACCAATATTTACATGTTGTAAAATGCTTTTTACAGCTACTTTCTGCAAAGTATAAATTACCAAACCATTTTGTGCCATCTTTTATAATAAGCTATTAAATAATTTAGAAAACCTCCTTTCATTAAATATTTAAAAGGCCTTAATTCTCCATTCTAAATAATTCCTCACTTAAAATACAACTGTGCATCTCTTAAAGACTCCTCTTCTGTAAAGCAAGGGGTGAGGAGGAAAGAGGTTTGGGGGCCATGTACTGTTCAGGGGATTTGCCAGCCTGACTTTAACCCCACTGTCAGCCTGGACAAACTCTTTTCTTATACTGAATAAAGGATAAAGGGAAAATATCTGACATTTCTTATCAGAGGGGGGAAAAGATCTGGTCAGGTCACTGTGTGTATTTGAAAACTGCTGCTGTTTGAGGGGAACTAGAGAAAAAAAGAGAGAGCCAAGCAAACACCTGCACACTGGCTGACCAACCTAGAGCCCCATTTTGGGGCTAAATCACTATACACAGGGTAAGTATTCAGTGACAGCACTTGAAGGGAACATATAAAAAAGAGGAGGAGCAACTTTTTACACAGGCAGGTATTGACAAGACAAAGGGGAATAGTTTTAAATGAAAAGAGGAGAGATTTATATGAGATGTTATATAAAAGTTTTTCCCTTTGATGGTGAGGAGGCACAAGCTGCCCAGGGAAGCATCCCTGGCCCATCTCTGGAAGTGTCCAAGACCAGGTTGGACTGGACTTGGAGTACCCTGGGATAGTGGGAGGTGTCCCTGGCCATGATAGGGGGTGAGATGGGATGGGCTTTAGGGTCCCTTCCAGCCCAAACCATCCCTGACTGTGCGCTGATGCTGTCCCATGGCCTGGGGTGATGTTCCTGAGTGATGTCCCCGTCACAACACAGGTGACTGATGTCCCTGTCAGGATACAGGTCACTTATGTCGCTATCCCGATTGATGTCCCTATCACGACTGATGTCCCTGTCACGACACAGGTCACTGATGTCCCTGTCCCGATTGACGTCCCTGTCACGACACGGGTCACTGATGTCCCTGTGCAGAGGTTCCCTCGGGGTGGTGCTGCCCCCTGGCGGCCAAATCCCCTCTCCTTGAGGATCATTCCCCATTCCCTTCCCCGTTCCCCACTCCCATTCCCCGTTCCCCGTTCCCCATTCCCCATTCCCCATTCCCGTTCCCCATTCCCCATTCCCGTTCCCCATTCCCCATTCC